CTTAGGACAGCAGTGCAGTGGGAATTTCTTTTCCCGGAAAAGATACCGCGAAACAGTAGTCGCTTTTGGAAAGCAGCCAATGAAAATTAAAAAATATCCGCGGTTGTTTGGCCGTAACGGTGAAGCATATTTTTAAGAAATTCGCGTCTCAACGAAATCTGTTTACGGCCAATTGGTCTGAGAAAAGTCGAGCCCCCTCCCTTCTTAGAATCGTTTTCGGGCAATGTAAGACCAAAATAGGAGCGAGTGCAAACCCGTATGGTTGCTATAATTTACTTGAAATTCTTACATTTCCTCTAAAAACATTTAGAGTGCTCAAGAAAAGAAAATATGATAAAGTGTAGGAGAATGTTTACCAGAGCACGCATTTTTGAATAATTAATTAAATAAATAATTAATTAAGTAGTCAATTAATCATTCAAAAATGCATGTTCTGCTGAACATTTTTCCTACATTATACTTTAATTTTAGTAACAACACGCGAAATGTGATTCTCTAGTAAGAAAAATATGACCAAGAATTTTTTTTTGAGATGGTGAGTTTTACCGGCTGGATAGGCTGAATTTATGCAATGAAACTCACATCGATGGCTAAACTCGAAGACCTTGAACTCCGATTGAACGGGCCGTTTGGACTCTATTTTGCGATCAGGAACTACAATATCTGGCTCATTTTCGGAACAACACATGTGCCATTCGCTTCCCTCTGCAGACAAGTAAATTTATGTATGAGCCAGAAATATTAGTTCCTTATGCCAAATGAAGTCCATTTGAACAAAGGCGAAACCCCTAAAAGTCAAGTTTTAAGAAAATATGGGAAAACTTGATTTCTTCTACAGCTCTTCATATTTGGGCTGCGTTGAGCAAAAAAGAACCAAGGCACATCAGCCATTGCCAAAGTTGATTGGATAATTTCATTTTTTAAATGAAAACGGCTGGGCGACTTTTTCTGCAAATTTCAGTGCATTTTCCGCATACTACGAAGAAAATTTCTTGAAAGTTTCAAAGAAATCCGCACAAACGTGCTCTTGTAAAAAATTAAATTGCTCCGTTAAATTTGGCAACAGCTGATGTGGCTTGGTTACTTCCTGCTGGACGCGGTCCATTTCTGCGCGAAAAAATGAAACACATATCATCTGTAATAAGTTCAGAATCACACAAAGAATGTCTGAGAAATTGGGAAAGTTATAAAATCTTTTTAACATATTGGTGGATGTGTCCCTCTTCCCATATCGACGGTGAAACTACCAAACCACGTATCTCGGTTTGCGACGTCGCAGACTTCCTGTGATACTTTATTTTTTAAATGAAAAACTACTTAACGTTTAGTCTTGAAAATTTCTGTGATTTTTCCTTTTTGTGCGGAGAAAATTCTGTGAAAATTTCAAGGAATGATATTGACTTGGTCGACTTCAAAAAAATAAAATGAGAGCGTAGATTTTTAAACACCGCAAACGAGATACGCGGTTTGGTAGTTTCACCGTCGATATACTGCTCAGTACTGTCATGTTTAGTGGTATTTTAACAGCCCAATAGCATGCGCGTTCAATGATAATATTGAAAAACGTAGTTTGTACCCATACTCTTGATTTTCATCATCAAGAAGCATCCTGCGTTGAGAGTGATGGCTGGAAACTTACGCCCTTTTTTCATTGAGGCAGATATTCAAAGTTTAAAAAAAGACGTTTACAAATCAGTGTTGGTAAAATGAACATGTGTCCACCCTCAAAGAATAGTACTCCGTCGAAAACTCATCTAAAAATTTGTCGGTTACGATCATCTTCAAATAACCCGTTCAGTTGTGGCGTTTCAAAATTTCTCGCCTTATAATTCAACGAATAATGTGCTAGTTAAGAAAAGCGCACGTATATTTTCACAAAACAAACTTTTCTCTCTTGTCATCTTTTTTTTTAAACTCGACTTCTATGCCTGCTCACACACACACGCGGCCGAAATTGAGCGAGACCGATCAGAACATTCATTGCCGGATCCGGCAAATCGGCAACATCGTTTTTTCCATTTAAACCAATGGAAATGTATCGATTCTTAGAGGGGCCAGGTGCTCCGACAAGAATCGATTATTTAACATAGGTTTAAAAGGAGGTAACCCGGTGTTGCCAAATTGCTGGATCCGCTTCTGAGAACATCGCAACTCGCGACTTTAACGACCGAGCAGTTAGTATTAAATAGCCGCCTTCGGGGGGCTATTAGACATTTATACACCTACTTACAATGTGTATCAAGCTGCGGTGCACGGAGAGATAAAAATTCATTACGTATATTAAAAGGAAATGCAGACTTTTGGCGCTATTCTTAGCCGCTTTGAAGGCAAGACATGACGAGGTCCAGCGAAAACAGACGGCTATTTATTCAAAAATCCCCTAACTACGTCCAACGCGGCTCGTCTTTTCGTCGCGCTGTCGACAAAATCGCCTAAACCAATTTTTACATGAGCCCTGGAAGACGTCGAGTTGTATGGACGACAAGGCCCATCTCAGAGTGTAGCTATGCTCTTTTTCCGCGGTGGGATGCTTTTTACTGCAGTCGGCTGCCTAAACAAACGGATACACCGGGCACGGCAAGTTCATGGCTGCAATCTATCCTCCTGTTTGTTTACAAACATCAAAGTTCATTACCTCAATCACATGCACGGGATCTGTATCATACTGTTATGATTAATCCACGAAAATAAACCTGGAGGATGCAGGAATTTTTGTGAATTTGTGTCGAGCATTACCATCGGTCAACGGAGAAAGTCTGAGAGGACCACTTAGTAGGGTAATAATTGGACTGCATTTTGCAATTTGGAACTGTACATTCTGGCTCATCTGAAAAAACACTTGTGTGCATGGGGAAAGTAATGGTACATACGTTGTTTTTAAACAGGGCTAGAATTTATAGCTCCAAATTGCAAAATGTAGTCCAATTACCGTGCTGCATGCAAGACTTCTTCCTTTTCTTTTTTTTAAGGGGAAAAATTAGCTGGAGTGTCACCCAATACCGCCGTGCTGAGGAAAAACGCTGTATGAACATTCAAGAGTTGCCAAATTTCCACGGATAAAATATGTAATTTTGAGGAAAATTAAGCATACTTTTAAAATAATGACGGTGAAATTGCGTACAAAACTGTCCGAACATTTGGAGGAAGAATATTGACATATTTTCTTGAAAATTTGTATTCCGTCTAAAATTATTCGGCAACACCTAAAAGTTTATACTGCGTTTTCCCTCAACACGGAAAAATAGGAGGGGCGCTGAAACGCTATCCCACGAAGGGATTACCATCGATTACCTATGTGGCAGTGGCTATTAGCCGGTGAAATGCCGCCAGGGCGACCCTTAGCCGACCCAGCCACTGCAACCGCTGGTCGCCAAACCAGTGGTGGTAAGACTGACCAGCAGTCAATCTGCTAATCAGCGTAACTACTGGTTTGCGAGACACAAAAAAGGGTGACCGGGACCTGACCTGACCCCTTACACATATACCTCTGGACAAGCACCAGTCATATCAGCTCAAACCACCACTTTAACAAGCACCTGACGGTGAAGGCAATTCGCCTTCAGCTGCGTCTGCAGCAATTGTTGTTGTGGATATGATGTGCGTGCTGATTTTAGCTGATTACATACTCGACTCTCTGAAGGCGTTTTACGTGCGCAAGTAGCGCAATCTATCGAAAAACAAACGAAGTAGGGACTGAGTGATTCATTTAATCTCACTTCTGTTGTTCTCCGACAGGGTGCTCCACTTTGGCATATAAAACGCCTTCAGAGTTTCGAGTATGTAACGAGGTAAAATCGGCACGCACAACATATTCGTAACGAAAATTGCTGCAGACGTAGCAGAAGGCGAATTGCTCTGTTAAAAAAAAAGAGAGAGAGAGAGAGAGAGTGATATATGAAGAATCTGCATTTAACAAGAGGGTATGTATTCGATCAACATGAATCGAACGAAAAATCAAAACGTGAACCGATCAACGCCGATTCATTGAACAAATAAACAAAGAAGCCGATCAAAATCAGTAAAAAACTTGCATTTACTATGACAATTTTAAATTGCGATACCTCTAAATTGGGATCAGCCAAGATTTTGATTTTTCTCGATTTTAAGTTCGCACGTACCATAGACTCGCCCCCTGCCCCTGCAAACCGCTTTTGGGTACATTTTTGTCGCATATTTGTTTTTGCTACATGACCACTGTGTTCTGAAGGTTTCTTGCATATTCCGGCTAATTCCAGACACATCGTGTGAACCATGAAAATATTTTCAGCTTACAACGTAGAAGGATAATCAAATTATGCCATAATTGGACACTCTTTTGTGACGCCGTAGGTACGTGTATTTCTGGGTGTTTTCGTCAAATTTCGAATACTTTCCAGATGACCTATAGGGGCCTTGGAGAGTTAAAACAAAATTCCGGTCCAGCTAAATAAATTCAGAGTAGTCCAGAACCTCCGCACCAATAGTAGTCGGCATCACTCCCGTAACTTTTGAACAAATTGAGATAGAGACTTGAATTGGACCGCGTTAAACAGAAAGGAACCAAGCCACATCAGCTATTGCCAAATTTAACAGGGAAATTACATTTTTTACGAGAGAACGCCTATGCAGATTCCTTTGAAAATTTTAGGGAATTTGCGTTGTATTATGGAGAAAATTCACTGAAATTTGCACAAAAATCCGCACCGCCGTATTCATGTAAAATATTAAATTGCCCGATTAAATTTGGCAATAGCTGATGTGGCTTGGTTCCTTTCTGTTTAACGCGGTCCAAATGATGTGCCTACTCCTAGGTCAAAGGAAACTATTTTTGGACCCCCTCCCATTTTGAAGGGATCTCTTTGACCAGAAGCAAGAGGCCGAGGAGTTTTAGAGGTGGCGTGGAACTTTAGAATCATCCTGTAAATGCTTCTGGAGGTTGAACATGTTAGTATCGGTTTTTGCAATAAGATATTGATATCATGAGGGGAAAATTGAGTAATGTTTATTTTGTTTTGTTTCAGTTCCAGCAATCGTAGCTTGGGCGGTGCAAGGTGGTGAGGCAAGACTCCCGTGTGACGTTTCCGGCGACCGGGTGAATATGGTTCTCTGGTTCAAGGACTCGACCGGAATTCCTTTGTACAGGTGAGCCACATCCTCTCCCTCGCATTTTTAAATTCTGCAATTAGACGTATTTCTATCAAACGGAACTATGTGCATTAAGACATGAGCCCTGAGACCCATAAGAATATGTTCATAACAGGGCTCAGGGCTCACGTCATAATGAACATAGTTCCGTTTGAAAGAAATACGTCCAATTCTGCCTTGCTCAGGAAAAACACCGTATGAGCCGCTGGACATTGCCAAATTCTCTTTTACAAAGCACGGATTTTCAGGAAAATTTGATATTTTTTTCTCGCGATTTTTTTGACAATTTTGTTCGTAATTTGATCTAAAGTATTTGAAAATTGCAAGGAAAAATATGCACAACTTTCTCCAAAAAAATATTTTTTATTCGGAGAAGTTTGGCAACGCTCAAATATTCACACGGCGTTCTTCCTTAACACGGCAGTGTTGGAGCGTCGATCACAACCAAACGAGTTCGGGGTACATTGGAAGTTTGAAAAGAGAAACATCGGTGACAAAAATTGCGGTATTGAGTGATATTTGGACTGCATTTTGCAATGAGGAACTGTAAATTCCGGCCCAGTCAAAAAACAACGTATGTGCCATTAGTTTCCCTATGCACATAAGTGTTTTTTCAGATGAGCCAGAATTTATAGTTCCAAATTGCAAAATGCAGTCCATTTGTCGAGTTGGGTCCTAAAATGGGATACTTATGTAGAAATTCCTCCAATGTCTTAAACAGTAAGTTGTGAGCGATCAGTTTGGTGGCCAGACATTTTACCAAATTTCGTTAGATCCAAATATTTCACTGTCCATTTATAAAGTTAGTTTTTTTTTTTTTTTTTTTTTTTTTTTTTTTTGTTTTTTTGTGCAATGCTTCATGAACCAATAGTTTACTTAGTCCAGCTATGAGCAATGGTATAGGTGCTGAGATTTCGCCAAATAATGGAATGTACCCCTTTGATGCCCAAGCTGGGTCACCCAAGGATCGCTGAAAAAACGTACTCTGCGGGTTCAATGAGGCTGGTACATCCGAACTGAGATGTAGGTCTACAAATACATCTTAAGAAAAGAATAAGACATCAAATTGAAAAATAAACAAAATCAAATATCAACTTAACCGAAGATAGGAGAGACGTTTTTGTGCCTGGTTTTTATAACTTTTCTCCCAAATCAGAGCGACAATTCATTGGCAGCAAAGAGCGGAGCATCGCGAGCTCACGCCTTGTGCCATAGCGCCTTCAATTTTTCAGATGCAACACGGACATCCATCAAGCACGAATAGTTGTATCCCTGCGCCGTCATCAACGCGCGACCTTTCCCTTGCTCCGTTCCCATGTTGTGTTGGTTCCGTCTGACTTATTTGTAGTAGTGCTTCAAGGGCTACGTTAACAAAACAGCCGGAGATAGGAGAGATGTAATCGGGCCTTGTTTTTTACCTTTTCTCCAGCATCGAGTGATATCTCATCGACGGCATAGAGCGGAGCATTGCGAGTTCACGCATCGCGCCTTCAATTTTGCAGATACGACACGGACATCCATCAAGCACGAATAGTTGTATCTCTGCGCCGTCATCAAAACGATTCCGATCTCTTACTATATTTGCCTGTCTTGTCGGTTCCATTTGTCTTATTCATGGCGGTGCTTAAGGGCTACGAGAGTAACACAGCCGAAGTATGACTTGGATTACATTAGTCTATACCAAACTAGGTATCGGGTGAAAAAAATTGGGTCAAATGCTTAGCTACCATCAATTTCGGTCAAGAAAAATCAGAAATCTTAAATTCGTAACCATCCCACCGATCCATTTCCAAGTCCAATTTTCTTAAAATGGATTTTACCCTTCACTGAAAATTTTTCTTCTTCAGATATTATTTTGACTTAAAGCGTTGTTTCTTGCCAACAAAATTTAGTTTTTTTTTTTTTTTTTTTTTTTTTTTTTTTTTTAAGTTAAATCCGTTCGGATTCAACTCAACAAGTTCCTCTTGGTTAAAAACAAGTTGTTTTGGTATCGTTAAAGTTTTTTCAGTCAATGGAGTAGTTGCGCTGGTCACAGAATAGTGTTTTAATGCTTGATTCTTGTAGGTCAGCTAAAAATAATAAGATTTATCCAAATAGAAAGTTTCTACGTTGAAGATATCGCTGAGATATCCGTCCGAGATATCACGCTTTGAAAAGTCGAGTTTTTGACGGCATCCACCTCGGTAATAACACCCTTGATTTTTTCCACCTTGCTTTTATCCGAGTTGCACGTTGAGTAACCAGTGCAGATGTGTGTTTCCCGGACTGATAAAAGCAAGGCAGAAGAAACCAAGGGTTTCACTACCGCGGTGGATGACATCATAAACCCACTGAGAAAAATACTTCGTGCATGGGATCCGAAGTTGAGGTCATATGGATCTCCGAAGTTTTCTGATCACGCATCCGAAAACTTGAGGTCGGGCTGCCGAAGTTCGGGTCAGACATCGAGGCACTTCGGTATGTATCGGAGTACTTCAGATGTGTGACCCGAACCCTTCGGCAGCTGGACCTCAAGTTTTTAGATACGTGATCCGAAAACTTCAGAGATCCATATGACCTCAACTTCGGGTCTCACGCATGAAGTTCTTTCCACCGTGCCAAATTTTTCAAAGCGCGATATCTCTGTTAATATTGAACGTAGAATAAGTTGCAGTTAAAACAGATATTATTATTTTTAGCAAATCTACGAGAATCAAGCATCAAACCACGATTCTGAGACCATTACAACTGACTCTTTGGGGTAAATTTAACTAACATAAAGGTCCATAAGGACCAATTCAATTCTGGCCCCGTTTCCTCAGATGCACCGGAGAGGCTACCTCGAGCCCCAAACCTCGACTCACCTTCGGCCGCGACGAGGCGCGGTGCATCTCGTCCGCGCGCGCTGCAACACTCAAAAGATTTACGACTCGGGCCCAGCAGTTATAGTTCTAATTTGTTATGCACGATTTATCTCCCCCGCCCCTCCTCCTACCGCGGGTCATAGAGCCCCGATGGGCGCATGCGCGCAGGCGGCAAGTCTTTGTCACCATCCCCCGTGTCGCCACTCCACTCCAACTACGTTTTAGCGTGAGCCCCAGGAATCGTGCGGTTGCACGGACTGTGGGGCTCATCTCAAAGTTGAGATTTGGGATTGTGGTGGAGGAGCGACGATGTGGCGTAACAAAGTACTCGTCGAAAGTGTTTGTTTTGGTCGACGACGCGAATGCGAAGCGAGCGCTCTCTAGCCGATCGCCACGCACTAATTAGGGGTTTTAGCTCCGCTTTTGCCCCGCTGTCAAATGGCCTTAAATGAGTGGATGGAATTGAGTACCTATATGGCGATAGTACCGGCATGTCGAGATATGAGGCTTTCAGGGGAAGGGGCAGTCAACCTTCTATGATAAAAAACACTAGATCTTTAGATTCCAAAATCAAAGCAAAATGGCTAAGTATGTTTGTAAACGAGCGTTAGGGTGGTTCTTATTTTTCGATTTTTCGAAAATCAAGTGTCTGACCCCCCATAAAGTTGTCTTTTGGGGTGAAATGAACGTACAAAAAATTTCAGCCGGACTGGATCATTCGAAGAGCGTCTCTCCACAAAAATGAGTGAATGCATGCAAAAACTAACAAAACAATTTAAGCAGTCCATAGGCTGGCTGTCTTTTTGGGCCCTAAGAATGACACAACCTTCAAAATTACCGTTATGTCTGGACTTTTCGCACTTGTATAGGTACCCTTAATGAAAATAAAGAAAACAGAACAAGAGAATAGCATTTTTTTTTTTTGAAAAACCTATTTGCTTAGGGGCAATATATTTTACAAACTGAGCACTGCTATCCTGCTTATGGTGTAAAAGGTACTTCTGGAAGTTAACGTTTAGATTCGAGTGACGATTGATGATGACTGAATGTGGAAAAAATAGTTTGGCAATCCTAACTTTTATTCCAAAAATTTCCCGAGCCAGGCGCTCTCGACATTGTTAAGTCAATATAGGTCGAATTTTATTTGATTTTTTGCTTAATAAGCTGCTCACCAATCATCACAAGGCAAAAAGTTATGTTGACGTCCGTATCTAACTTCTACTTCACTCCGTTACATTGCTCGGATTGTCAGTGCGGGGTCGCTAAAATATACAAATATACTGCCTCTGATATTGTCTGTCTATAGCAGTCCTCCGCAGAACATTCTTTGATTTTACTACACGGAAAAACGCAAGGCAAAGGCGCTTTACTAAGCGCGAGCTAAAAGTCAAAGCGCCTTCGATTCTTTCCGTATGCAATGCAGACAGCATGGAAGTTGAAATAGTTGTATTAAGGTGTTAGTGGCATATCTACGCTGTTAAAACACCCACGATGCAATACACCTTCATTGAGCGCGTAAATATTTTGTCACCTTCCGGCCAAAGTATCACAAGCGTCATGCGACGTTTAACAATTTTCCCCGCCATTTCATTTCTTTACAGATAAATTGTTCAACGAAACTGTCCGAAAATAATTTCATTGAATTTTCTTCGTGCTGCTAATAAAATTCAGTAAAATTTTCAAGCAGATTTTACCAGAAATGTCTCTATAAAAAAATAAAATGGTGGCGGAGGTGTTTAAACGTCGTATGGCGCTTGTGATACTTTGGCCAGAAGGTGACGATTTCTTCTGTTTTTTTGGTGTTGATCAAGTAGTACTATTAAGACTAATATTTCTCATAATTTTTTGTCGTAAAATACCATTTATTTTAACGACATGGCAACAAACTGAACATGCAGGAGGGTTAGACTTGAGCGATCTCACCAAGCTCGAGTTCTCTATTTGTAATTGTATTTCAATTTATTGAAGAATTTCAAGGTCAACTTGTTAACTCACGAGACTCTATGCTTAGTTTGTCAGTGGCGAGGCGCAAATGATCGATTTTCGACGTTTTTCCCATCTGAAGCCATGGTAAAGACTCGATTGTTAAAGTGTTCATTGGAAACACCCTCTTCATCGATCCTTTGCCATAGGTTAAAATGACAGATCATTCGATGTATCGCAAAGCTCGCCGCGCCGCGCCACTGCAGCTAGTTTTAAGTGGCATTTCTCCCTACTACAGATTACAAATTTCTTCTTATTTTACATGAACAAACTCTTACCAGTGAAAATTGCACTAGCTACTTGATGCTACTTTAGTCTCTTTCCTGGAAACTTTTTGTTTGCTTCCAAGCCCTTGAAAATGTCCGCGCACTTTACGGTTCACTGAAAAAAAAGTGAAGTTGACTTAACATTCTGGATATAAAAAAAGTGAGCGAGAACTCACAAAATGCTGAATTAACTGCTACAGCAGTTACTTTAGCCATGTGAAGATGTAAAACTAGCAGCCGTAGCAGGTAATTTAGCATTTTGTGAGTTCTCGCACACTTTTTTACATCCAAAATGTTAAGTCAACTTCACTTTTTTTTTCGGTGTTCTTTTCAGGACCAATGTATCGAATTGTTTAAAATTCGATGATTTTCATAATGAGCATAGCAGTGGCATGGTGTGCTTTGCGGTACATCGATTGATCTGACATTTAAACCTATTGAAAAGCAGCGATGAACAGAACGTTTGCAACGGACTCCTCATTCATTGATCCTTTATCATACTTTCAGCTGGGGAAATATCGATAATCGATCCCTCATGCCTTGCCACTGGAACAGTGAAATTGTGCAGTGCGGTTATTCCAATAATATGTGGTAAAATATAAGGAGAATGCATTCTCCTAAAAATAAAAAATAAAAATATGGTAGATTTTATCATATTCTGACATAGTGATACAAGGAAGGTAATAAACACCAGACTCTATGGTACCATATTATGGTATGTATCATCTGAGTTCTGGTGAATACTATTATAATTCTGGTTATTTTCACTAAATAGTATTACTGTGTAAAGAATTAAGTAGATGTATGGTTAATTTTACCATACTTTTTCTTCAGTGTGATTGTAGAAATTTCAAACTAGCTTCATCATCATAATCCCGACTTTTCTTTTCTTCGATCCGCGAACCTGTTCATGACGGGAACTTGATTTTTACGGGAAATGTCTCATCCTTGTTGAATTCCGCGATATGTAGAACCCACTTTTTATGCGGTTTGGAAACATTATGTTTGACGAAACTGAATTTTTACTTGTCGGCCTCCTTTGGTGTAATGGTTGTAGCGCTGGCTCTGCAATCAGGAGGTCCCGGGTTCGATCCACGGCTAGGCGACCCGAGTTTGATGGTCTCAAACAACGGTTGCCTTGGGCTGGTACATGGTAGGGACAGAGGGGGGAGGGGCTCTAACTGGAAGCGTAAGGATTACCACTTGTGTGGTATTTGAAGTAGTAAAAAAAAAAAAAAAAAAAAAAAAAAAAAAAACTATGCTGTTATCGTTTTTGTTCTTTTTTTGACAGTTTGGACGCGCGAGGAGGCAACGTTCGTCAAGCGACTCATTGGGCTGTGAGTGGGGATTTGGGCGAGAGGTGTTCCTCGGCCATGGGAACAGAGGACCGTGAGGCTATTCTCACCATCAAGAACGTCAACTATGATGATCAAGGAATTTACAGATGTAGAGTTGACTTCATGGATTCACCTACGAAAAACTACAGAGTCAATTTAACTTTAGCAGGTGAGAAAATTTCTGTGAGCATACACTGAAAAAAAAATATCGGTGTATTTACTGACAAAAGGGTAAAATTACCAAGAATTCAGGGTTCTATTTGATCCCAGTTTTTTCTTGGTAAAATTACCATTTATGGAATTGGTAATTTTACCGAGAAATCTCGGTAAAATTATTGAAATTTCTCGGTAATTTTACTAGACCTTGGTAAAAACGCCAATATTTTTTATCGACTGTGGTAGAATTACCGAGATAAAATGTCAAAGTAACCGGGAATTAATTACCAATAAAAGTGGTATTCTTACCTGAACAAACAGTAAAAATACCGGTTTTTAGGTAAGCTTACCAATCTGTCTTGGTAAAATTACCAATAATAGGTAAAAAAAGTGAGATAGTAAAGGTACCAACGCCGGTAAAAACGCCGAGAATTTGTTTTCAGTGTAAATGGACCGCGTTTAACAGAAAGGAACCAAGCCACAACAGCCATTGCCAATTTTAATTGGGCAATTTAATTTTTTACGAGAAAATGTTTGCGCGGATCCTTTTGAAAATGTTAAGGAATTTGCTTCGTACTGTGCAGAAAATTCACTGAAATTTGCACGAAAATCCGCGCGACTGTTTTCGTGTAAAAAATTAAATTAGCCAGTTAAATCTGGCCATAGCTGATGTGGCTTGGTTCATTTCTGTTTAACGCGGTCCGAATATCGATGGTGAAATTACAGAGGTGCGTATCCCGGAACACACGATTTTTCAGGAGAGTAAAAAACAGTCTACATTCCTGTTTAATGTTAATAAAAGGGTAATAATTCTTGAGGATAGCAAGAAGATGCTTTTTCAGACTCCACCAGAATTTTGAATAATTCCTCGATCTGTTAGAAAATACGGCAAAAATGCCGAGATTCGCGTTTTTGGAACTAAGAATAGACACTTCAACACGGGATACGCATTTTTCCAATTAGTGTTTTAAACCTGTTGTTGTCGGATTTGGATCATTTAAAGACTGGAAAAATAATTTCACGCTTTAAATTCCTTATCAGATAAGCTTTAGTTTGATATCATATGGCCAGAGCAGGCATTGTATGATTGGAAAATGAAATTTGATCACGAGATACGCATTTCTGCAATTTTTAGCGTTTTGAACCTGCTCTTGATCACTAACATTAAAAATAGAGGTTATATTCTTAACTTCTATTCTAAACTGGTTTAGAAGCTTTAGTTGATCTAAGTCATCGATCGTAAGTCATTGATCATAAGTCATCGATAAGTGAATTAGAAAATTGGATTCCTTGAGTAACTTTCATCCTATTGATAGGTTAGAAGTTAATCTTGGTTAATATTGAACAGAGGAAGTTGCTGTTTAGACAGATTTCATTATTTCTAACTGATCCGCATGGACCAAGCATCAAAACACGATTCTGTGATTGGCACAATTGACCCATTGATATGGAAGGAGAATTGAGGCTACGCACTACGCAATTACTATTTGGACTGCGCTTTGCAATAAGGATATACAATTTCTGGCTCAGTTTTAAAAAATGAACATTTGCTTCATTAGTTTCCCAATAAACATACGTTTATTTACAGATGAACCGGATATTGTAGGTCTTAATTGCAAACTGCAGTCCATTTCGCCTTCAGTCCTAGATGTAGGCTAGAAAACATACATCGTGCAGAAATCGTTCAAAACTCGTCTAGCGATGTTCATGAGAATTTTCCAGCGGTGAAGAATGTCAACCTCCATGAATCTGACGTGATTAATACCAGCTTTGATTTTCAATTAATGTCTGTTTGATTGATAATAAATTAATATTAAGAAAATTATAATCGATATCCGAATGTTTAAGGAGAAATAGTGCCACCCTCGTGTTTAAAAAGGAGATGTGAGAAAAATCAAAATGTTGCATTCGTGCAATTCAGGTTTTATAGATCCGTCGAAAATTCCTCCATTTTCCCCCAAAATATAAAGCTTCTTTTCATTTCTTGCAGTGCCGCCTTCTACGCCTGTGATAATGGATATGCAAGGCAAACAGATGGATGCTATCGCGGGACCTTACTTCGAAGGCTACGATCTTCACCTTACTTGTCTTGTCACTGGAGGTAAGCTCTCCTACAAGTTTTCTAATTATCACGATGAGTTTTCAACTTTGAGATGAACTAAAAAACACAAGAAAATGGGCAACCAAGGCAAAAAAAGCCTTTTTTTGTTATCACAAATGGTGGTTCAAGGGGTTTTTTTAAATGATTTTTATAACTTTATGTGAGGAGCTTAGAGGACAAGGCGCATAAGTGCAGTTTTTGAAAAAATTGACGTATTAATGATTTCAAGTGAAAATAGTCTTAGGGCATATTCTGTGAAAAATTTTTTCCCAAATTCCAATTTTTATGCACTGGAAAAAAAACACATTGGATCTAGAGTCCAGACTCTTGAAAACGTCGACAAGAAAAAGGACTCTTGATTTAATCAGATTTAAGCTTAAATCAAAAGGAAATCCGCTCAAATTAAGAGGCTTGGTTCTTGATTTAAGCTTAAATCTGATTGAATCAAGAGTATTTTTTCTTGTCGATGTTTTTAAGAGACAGGATTCTAGATCCAATGTGTTTTTTTTCCAGTGTGCATTAAAAAGTCAGCTTGAACTTTCTTTTTGTCATGAGGATCCACGTAATTTCGGAACTTCAAACACGCATTTATCGAAATAGCAGGAACTGCACTTATGCACCTTGTCCTCCAAGCCCCTCATATACTCGTATTTCTTGTTTCCTAGTCAAGGAAGGGGTTGAAACCACCCCAAAACGCCACAGGAATTTAATTTGTTTGTTTTTAGCCTCGTTTGCCCATTTTCTTGTGTTTTTTAGTTGTATCATTCGGGCTATTTTTGTGTATATTTCTTAGGGATGGATGATCCATCTTAATTCGAGGGCATAAATTGTCTTCACGTTGCATTGCTTTAAGGTTAATGTTTTTGAAATGTGATGAAAAATTATGCCCTACATATGACTGTGTATCTGCTTTATTACTCGGAATGATTCGTCCTCAAATGTAAGTTTGTAGTTAAAGATTTTTATATCTTCCTGAGGCCGATTGCATGAGAAAAAATTCCCTACGGAATTTATAACAACATCTTGTTGATGGTTTCTTCATCGGAATTTTAATCGAGACAACCGGATTTCTTCTTGTGCCAGTTTGAAATTCTGATTGTCGTAATCAGATCCCTGGCTGGACAACGAAAATTCCTACTGTCGTAAATAGAAGTCCGATGAGGAAATATAATACGGAAGCTTTTCTTCCTACGTGAAGTGGCGCAACATAGCGGCAAGTTCTGTCCCTAAACATAAAACTCCTTTCGAAGCAGCGCGCTTCGAAACGGACCGCACCGTCCTGATTATTCGTCATCCCGTCAAAACTCAAAGTAGATCTGGACAAGCGAAACAATGCCCAAGACAAGACAGTCGACCCAGTAGGAGAAAACACAGTAAGTTTACTTCACTACAATCGAAGAAGTAATTTTTGCCGCAGGAATCAAACCTTGATCTGAGCTGTCACCCACTGAAGTTTTGTGGGGAGTAATTTTGAATCTTCAAGTTCAGAGGCGTGGAATGCTTTGCGATATATCGATCGATCTGTCATTTAAACCTATGGAAAAGGATCGTATGCTACGAGCACTTTCAAAATCGATTCTCTACCATAGCTTCAAATGGGAAAATGTCGATAATCGATCACTCACGCTGGATCGGATTCTCAGGGAGGTCGAACGGTGCGTATCAATTAAAAGTTCCTTAGAGCAGCTGGAGCTGGAGAAACTAGGGAAGGTGCAGGTGCGCTACAGCACTCAAAGCGTTATTAAAATTGGAGAGCGGGGATTATCCACTGCGGAGCGGATTTCATTCGAAACTTCGCTTAATTACTCAAAGACTCGATTGTCCTGTCTATTTTGTAATTAAAATGTGAAGTTTTGTCTCTTGGGGGTGGTGGCAAACGGATTCTTTCCCGACTATTGGCGCCGACTTATAAACGGCGTTGAGGGAGACGTGAGAGATATACTACCGTGCCAAGTGGAGATGCCCGTATGAGCATTCGAATTTTGCCAAATTTCCTCTGAGAAAATTTCATTCTTGAAGAAACTTATGGGTGTTTTCCCTTGAAATTGTCAGGCTTTTTAGATTGATTCACGAACAAAATCCTCTCAAAAATCGGAGGGGAAATATTCACAAATTTTCCTGAAAATTCGTGATTGGTCGAGAGAAATTTGGCAAGGCCTGATGTCTCATACAGTGTTCTTCCGAGACGCGCCTGCGTTCATTTGTTAACGCAACAAGGAATGGGATCTGGTGTCAATGCATTTTTTGTAAGTTCGTTAAAATCAGACAGAAGTTCAAACATATGAGAGAATTTTTAACTGGATCCAGGAAATAGAGGTTTAAGGAAAAACGCCACGTCAACTCTCGTACGTTCCCAAATTCCCCAAGAAATTAATGTATACATTTTTAAAGACCGTTATGAGTAAACGCCAGAGCCTGTCAAAAAAGAGCATTTTGGGCCTTTTCAAAGGAATTCAGAGATTTGGTTCTAATGTTGCCTAAGCGAGACCTCATGATAAGACATTCCTCTTGTAAAAGTATTAACTTGAATTAAAAGCTCGTTTTAAAAGTACATCCTTGCGAAGTTGTCTTATTTTACTATCGATGTATTCTGATGTTTCAGGGCTCCTCGGTTAAAAAAAAAAAAAAAAAAAAAAAAAAAAAAAANAAAAAAAAAAAAAAAAAAAAAAAAAAAAAAAAAAAAAAAAAAAAAACTTTAGCTGATATAGTTGAATTTTAGTTTTCTGAGACCCAGCAGCATCATGGTGTTATTGTGTCTCAGAAAATAGATAGGATCAACATAGGTTGTTCCTCTAACTGTGGAACGTCAAAATATTATTATTCACCCATAGCGAAAAAATATAAACATTGTAACATTAGAGAGCTATAATGATATTTGAAATCAAGTTAAAATTTTTACAGGAAAATTGTCTCATCATGAGGTTTTGTTTAGACCGCATTTGAATAAAAACCCTTAATTTCCTGAAACTGGGGCACTTTTTTTATTGGGTTTAATATTCTAACTTTAATTTGACGAACTAATATTATTGTATAATTTAACTTAATCTTTCGTTAACTTACTAAAATTGATTAATTTTATTTAAATTCAAAGGGTAATGCTTATAAACTCAAGTTAACAAAATGTATCTAATATTAATTTCCAAAACCCTTACTCTTACCAGATACTTCAGCTTGAATTACGAATGAAATTCTCTAAAAATGGAGGGAGGGGGGATTTTCACGGATTTTTCTGAAAATTCGCATTTTAACATGGAATATTTGACTACGTCTGAAGACTCATAGGGTGTTTTTCCTCACCACGGCAGTGCGGGCCTCCGTAATTATATTGTCTCTGCATATACGCTGCACACGCTCATGTAAATGTTCGACCCAGTTCTCATATAAACACGAGCTTGACTATTTTTATTCTAAACTTTGCAGTCCAAGCTTAGAGTCTTTTTCCTCAATAAAAGCTCACCGTATAAACCTCCGGCTCAATTTTTGCACCGCCGCACACTGTGGTATTGGACCTGAAAAGCTGGCCAAAACTATTTATCACCAGATATCGCCGAGTTTTAAAAATATTTTACAATCAGTACTTCTTCTTAAGTGATAATATGCACAATATAACCACCTAACACATCATATGACAATTTGCGGAGAGTTTAAAGAGGGTGCAAGAAGCCCTCCAAAAAGCCTTTAAAAGGACGCAAAGTATCTGAGTAAAGCGGTGCTTTTAGACGAGTTTCGCCTTCACCTAGGGTCTACTTTTCGAAATAAGGACTTTCTATTGCCTCATTTATGGTTTTTTTTAAAAACAGCGTAAGTCACTTCAAAATTTTTGACGAAACAGCCGATCTCTCAAATTGAGGAGTAATTGTACATTTCTCAAAAAAATTAATATGAATCATTCTAGATATTACATTTTTGACAGTTTTGAATCAAAATTAGGCTAGTATGAAAGTGCCGGGACCTCCATATGATGATTTGAGGTTAAATTATAAGATGAAAATGAGTTTTATCATAATAAGAACCATTGTAAGGGCAGAAAGCACCTGTGAAAATGATTCATTTTGATGGGTTCCTTCCTAACCCATGATCCACATTTCAAAGTGAGGGCATATTACACTGCGAAATTCGTTACAAAACCACATATCACACTTTTACGAGGCTTCAAATGTGCCTCTAAGCGTAATTTCATGTCAGAGGGCCACTTTTAAAGCCCCACCCCGCGGCCGCATGAACTCAAAGTCTGTAAAAGTAAAACATGACATAAATATGTCTATACTCAAGGATAATGCACGAAAAGATTGTTAGATAACGGATTAAACACTTTTGCAAGACTTTAAAGTGACCCTCCCATCCGCTTTCAAATTATTTTTTTTATCTCTTTCGAGGGCGTAGGGGCCAGAGAAACTGGTTGCGTGACCAAATGTCACCCAATTTGGTACTAAATGGTTCAGAGCTGTTGGAAAAATACAATTTCAGTTGTTAGTATCGACATAATTTTCCCCATTCATGTTTGTGAAAATCGCTCAAAAGTCCATCTTTAAGGTCGAAAATTTCAATTTCCTCAGTTTTCCTCAGTCTGTCACCCTTGAATGCTGAAAATACCCACTTTGGACTATAACATTCCGCCTTAACCCGCTTGAGCGCAGTTGAGCGTAAAAAGAAATCGGACTCTGAATTTCGAAAAAAACGTTTACTTTTACATCACTTTTCAACCTCCTGTGAAAATCACTAAAAAATGAAATTTCGAAAATACTGTGGTTAGTTGCGTAGAATATACCCCTAAGAATGTGTCGCATATCGCCGAAGTTCCCTTTTATGGCCGCACAGTTGAAGTAAACTGATCGACGAGTAGCGCGCCAAAACATATCAAAATAATCGATGAGAATTAGGTAACTTCGTGGTCTCTTCACGGGAAATTAAGCCACTCGATAAATGGTACATACATGTCCACCAGGGTAAAAAACAGTGTAGATTTCGAATATCACATTGGTTTTCCAATAAAAAAAATT